GTTTTTTTTTTTTTTTTTTTTTTTTTGAGACGAAAGAAAGCCATTGCATTATTGTTGTGGTATGTCATTTCGATGCATGAACCATGCCCTGTCAGAAGCAAAATTAATGCCTTAGAAGGTCGTTGGTAAGTAGGATTTGGAAAAAAAAAAAAAAAAAAAGGAAAAAAAAGTAGGATTTGGATAGCTCAGTAGCAGGTTTCATGCCTGGGTTTAAAGCCCTTGAAGGATAGAAAACAGAAGGATGCCATACTCCCGTTGTTGATGTTAATCAGGGGAAAGAAGAAGAGAACAGGGAGAGGGTTGCACGACGGAAAGAATCAGGGGCGGCAAGTAGAGGATGTGGACAGGGTTCTAAACGAACGCGCAGTGGGGAGAGAAGGGAGAGTGGAGGAGGAGGAGGAGASGAGGAGGGAGAGTTCGTGTGCGCTTCGGCCGTCATCGAGAGGGAGGAACGGTGCAGAGGAGAGCATCAGCGAGGGGAGGTGATAGAGGGCGTGCTCGGAGTGTGGAGATTGAGAGAGAGCCCTCCAAGGAGAGAGCTCAGAAGAGCGCCGCCTTTGCTGGTGCTCCAGCGGATAGGTGGCACAGGGCAGACACATGTACGGCGGAGATGTGAAGTGTCAGCACTTGTAATTGACGGATAGGATTTGAACACTTGCAAGGCTGGTTATGCTGGAGAAGATCCGCCGAAAAATTAGGTCATCTACCCCGGCAGCAGACGCTGCGCAGACCGGCTGGCGAAGGTTGTGCCGGGTTGGTCAGGAGGCATCCATACCCGTGCTAGCGCGACCTTTCACGTCCGTACCTGTACGAGCTCGACCACTGGTCGGCTCTGTGTTGCCGCTGCTGTGGCCATGGCATTGACCGAGGCGCAATGCGTAGAGTTCAGGGAAGCCTTCTGCTTTTTCGATCGGGATCGGGATGGGCAGATTCAGACGAAGGAGATCGGGGCAGTGATGCGTGCTCTGGGTCTGAACCCGACGGAGGCAGACTTGAGTGACATCGTGGACAGCGCAGCCGCCAATGGCAAGGACAGCGTGGACGTCAACGAATTCCTCTCATTGATGGGAAAGAACATGAAGGAGGAGTCGGAGGACGAGCTGAAGGAAGCCTTCAAAGTTTTCGACAAAGATCAAGACGGTGTCATCTCCGCTGGCGAGCTGCGGCATGTGATGAGCAGCCTCGGCGAGAGGCTAGGTGATGACGAGATTGATGAAATGCTGAAGGAGGCTGACCCGACTAGCTGTGGGGATGTCAACTACGACCAGTTCGTCAAGGTCATGATGGCGCGACGGTAGATAGATATGGTTCCCGGTAGATGGTTGTGTTTGTGTCTGCAAGTCTGCCTTCTTGTCTTCGTCAACGTAACATAGCAGTCTTTGTCCACTGTCCTTTGGGACATCTTGTTAAAACTTGCAAGTGGAAAGGTAGGAAAGATACAGAGGTGCTAGATTACTAGCGTATTATGACTTTTGGCGAGAGGATTGACATGCACAGATCGAGAAATGGTCCAAGTTAAGGGGGAACGATCAAGAAAAAGAGGAGTCTTAAAAAGTCACAAATTTTAAAAACGAAAAAACAAGCAAACAATTCTATTCAATTGCAGAGCAGGGAGGGTCCTCTCTGAGTTTACAGTCAGTGACATTCAGTTGCAGTATTTTTGGTTAGCCATTTCGCTATCATGGTGGTTTTGGGGGGGGGGGGGGGGGGNGGGGGGGGGGGGGGGGACTAGACCGTGGATGTGGCGAGAGTTGAGATCCCGACGGAGGGAGACCTTTGCTTATCTGCTCTGATAAGCGAGAGAGAGAGAGAGCCACGTGGTCGTGGAACGTCAGGGCATTGTCACAGTAGAACTTTCCGGGAAGGTTTGACCGCAATTACAGCCGGACCAGGATGTATCTGGACCACAAATACGCCCAAAGCTCAGTCGAAGCTCGTCTTCGCCCGAATAAAGCTCACTGTCATCATCCCCATATGTAGACTGAAAGTCGCCCCAAATACAGAGATGATCACCATGCGCACGGGCCATGCTAATTAGTCTTCTCTGTTTCTTTCCAATCCGTTTTAGGAATGTCCCGCCGAGGGACAGATCATATATGCCACCTGCCTAGTTGCTTCCAGATGCCACACGTGTCAATCTCAAAGTAATCTCAGAGATTGACACGTGGCATCTGGAAGATCTTTTGCTATGGAAACGGGATCTTGCAACGTGGCAGGTAATCTCAGAGTAATTGGCACGTGTCGCCAGACCGCAGGCCGACAGATAACCTTTTTCTTTATGTTAGATAACCGTTTTTGAGTCCTAGACCCTTTTTTTTTTTTTTTTTTTTTTTTGTTTTTTTTTTTTTTTTTTTTTTTTTTTTTAATTCTTGTAAAAGAAAGAAAAAAAAAAAAGATGTTTGTTTAGGTTGTTTTTTTTAGGGGGGGGGGGGGGGGGGGGGGGGGGGGGGGGGTCCGGAATTTCCTGAAGGCTGTTTGTTATATATACTGTCGAAATTTTGAAATTGAACGAGTTTGGGGTCGGAACTCTCCATCTTGAAAAAAGAGAGAAAAAATGGAACAAATAAAAAACAATCCATCGTGAAAAAGAGAGAAAAATGGAATAAATAAAAAAACAATGTAGATGTGTGTTGGGGCATCATCTTCTACCGTCTCCGCACGAATAGAACGCGTGCGGTCGTTAGTTTCCCGGCTTGTATAATATAAACTTTTGTTCTTCTTATAAAAAAATAAAACAAAAAATTATCTTCCCAAAAAAAAACAAAAAAAAACGCACGGTCATTATATAGCTGTATTTGGCGCATCTTTCAGTCGAGATAGATGCAACGGCAACGATTGTGCGTTTTTTTGGTCCCAGGAGCGGCGTTTGTTGCGTGAACGAAATCAATAGGTAGTACCCTAAAGCACATATAGGTCACACAAAGAGAAAAAAAAAAAGAAAAAAAGCAAAAAAAAATCAGCACAATGTGACAATTTCGGTGCAAAATTCGCCGATAATAACACCCCTGGTTAACCACATGTGAGTATTTTGGGCACCTTTTTTTCAGTCCCAATGCAGCGATAATGACTGTGAGTTGTATTGGGGGGAAGACGGGTAGGGTGATTTTTGGTCCGATGTCGTTGGGGGATAAGAATCTGAGGAGCATCTTGAGCGAGGGAATGGAGAACAGGGGAGGGAGGCTGTAAGAGGGGAGGGGGGAGGGGAGGGGGAGGTGAGTTAGCAATTCGCGCGGGAGGGGGGCGGGGAAGGGGCGGGGGCAGGTGGGTGGGCAATTCCTGGAGGGGGGGAGGGTTTCAAGGTTCAAGGTGCATTTCTGGATGCTTGGGATTACGTGTAGGAGGCGTTACGAGGGGGGGAAAGGAGGATGGGCGCTTTTTTTGGTTATTACGATTAATTTTTCGCATGAGGATGGGCAGTTTGTGCACGGTGGTCATGAATTTTGAGGGGGTTTGGTGGGGGGCGGTTGCAGGGTGGGCAGTCTGTGAACGCGTTCTGTAGGCGATGGAAAGGCTTTATTAGTATGAATAGAGGGGTTGTAGCAGCAGTACCTCCTCCTTTCCCTTCTCCCCTCCCCCCCCCCCCCCCCCCCTCTCTTTTAGTGGTGGTAAGTAGTGATTGGCTCAGTGTTTGTGTTTCCGTCATATTTTGACATGCTTGTGGGTGTCGCCGCACGGGACACGAAACGAGTGCATCGTCCTGGAGAAAATGGCCAGGTTCATCGGTTTGCTATGAATAGTAACGAGTGTATTTTGCCAGCTGTCGTGGGCAGATGCAGTCGTTTCGTGTGCCGTGCGGCGAGACCCTGTGTTATGTTCATCCTGGGAGAGTTATGTATACCACCTATATTTGTAGATATCGTGATAGAGAATTGCTCGGTGAACCGTACGTAGGCAGAGAGGGAAAATGAGGGATAGTAAACTATAGAGGGACTGTGACAGAGTGTTTTGTCGGAGTTTCACCGAGTATAATTACGTATATTATAAAATATATATATTATATATTATATTATATACACAAATACATAGCAAGAAAAGAAATGTGGGGGTCCGTTCCAGATAAGCCACCAACTTGGCATTTAAGTAAACCTAGAAAAGATAGCGTGAGTACTTAGGTGTTGACTTAGGGTCTCGCCGCACGGCACACGAAACGAAAACGAAAAGAGTGCATCTGCCCACGAAAGGTGGTAAAATACACGTTAGTATTTATAGCAAACCAATGAACCTGGCCATTTTCTGCAGGAAGATGCACTCGTGTCGTTTTTCGTTTCGTGTCCCGTGCGGCGACGCCCTTAGTATAGATATTGTCTATTTTGTCTATTGGGTCGATTGGCTGTTCTGTGCTCTTGCTAATACTTATCTTAGTTGTTCTCTGAGCGGAGAAAAGTATGAGCAGGAAGTGGTGGTCGGTTAGCTACTTCGAAGCCGCAGACTGATTGATTGATTAATGGATTGAGCGAGTGATTTCCAACAAC